ATTTTCGCCCCCCCCCCCCCAAAAAAAAAAATGGGGGCCTGGGGGGGCCCCCCCCCGCCCCCATTTCTTTTTTTATTTTGGTCCCCACGCGGTGGGGGGGAAAAGATCTTTTTTCCCCCCCCCCCAAAAAAAAAATTTTTTTTTTTTTTTTTTTTTCTTTTTTTTTTTTTTCCCCCCCCCACCCCCCCCTTGCAAGGGAAAAAAAAAAAAACATGGCCAATTCTTTTATTCTCGTGAAATGCCTATTTTTAAGGTTAGTTGTTGGCCATTAAAATGCGTTTTGATGGTCATTTGATGCTGTGAAATATGAGTTTTTTTCAAGATTATATGTGCAGTGGATGTACATGATCTTTATTTTGCTAGTTATTTACGGAAAGATACTTTCAGGAAATTGTGTCACATTCAACGTTTTCATTGTTACCAAGTGGTTGTAGGACGCTCTAGATTACCCGTTTTCCCCCTGGTGCCCCAATTCCCATTTACTCAAACCAACAATGAAACACATTAATTATCCTTGTTTATCCTTTATTTATTTTGTTTGATTAATAAACACAAGTTGGAGTCCGTCAGGACCGAGCGGCGCGTCATTTTGCTTTTAGAGAATATTACACCCGGAGAGTAAGTATGTCTCTCTCTCACGCTTCGCTTGACAAACCCCGTGATAGTCCTCGAAGCTCTGTGATTGGATGTTTGGTTGTGCGCCAAAGGTCACGCCGAGTGTCGAACAGCATTCTTAAAATGGGGATGGAACCACGGCAGACTGTCCAAAACTTGGATTTGAACGGGTCCACCCAGTCCCCCCTCCCCCACCCCGTCCCCAGAATACCACAGCTGGCTATTGTGTTTCGCAACATGTTCGCTCTATGGCAGTGATACTCAAATGGGGGTACGGCGGACCCCTGGGGGTACGTTGGGGTACTGCAGGGGGTACGTGAGATTTATAATAATAATAATAATAAGGATAATAAAAAAATTAAAATAAAAAGGTTAATTAAAAAAATACCATGCATGATTAAAAAAAAAATCTTACAGTAGTATAATAAGTTAAATAGAAAACACAATTTTATGTCATGTGTGTATTGTATTTGATTGGTTTGTTAAATATATTACTTAAATTGAAAAACTCCTTGGAAAAATCTGTTTTATAAAAGTGTTATGTTATTCTTTTTTCATGCATGAAGATGAAAATATCCTTAGTTTGTTGTAATGCAAGCACGATGGAGTTAATAATAATAATAAATAATACATTACATTTATTTAAGTGTTTTTCCTGGTGCTCAAAGCGCTTAGAAGCAAGTAAAACAAAAATAACAACAAAAGTAGAAAGTGCTAAGGTAGGAGGAATAAGGGCAAGGGGTTAGTTGATTAGGAGTTGAAGGCAAGAGTGAAAAGGTGAGTTTTGAGGGATTGTTTGAATGATGTGAGAGTGATGGCGGATCTGACGTGGCTGGGGAGGGAGTTCCAGAGTGTGGGGGAGGCTGCTGCGAAGGCCCTGTCACCCCAGGTCCGGAGCTTTGTCCTGATGGGCTGCAGTAGGTTAGCTTCAGCAGACCTGAGGCGACGGGTGGGGGTGTGTCGTTGGATGAGGTCACAGAGGTAGGGGGGGGGCAAGGTTGTTGAGGGCTTTGAAAGTGAAAAGTAATATTTTAAAGTCAATGCGGTGTTTGATGGGGAGCCAGTGGAGGTCATGGAGGATAGGGGTGATGTGGTCGGAGCGTCGGGTGGAGGTGAGCAAGCGGGCAGCTGAGTTTTGGACATATTGAAGTTTTTTTAGTGTGAATGCAGGTGATCCAAAAAGTATGCTGTTGCAGTAATCCAGTCGGGATGTTATAAAGGCATGGATCAGAGTTTCAGCAGCGGTCGATGAGAGGGAGGGTCTAATGCGGGCGATGTTCTTTAAATGGAAGAATGCGTTTTTTGTGACCTGTTTGACGTGAGGGAGGAAAGTGAGGGTGGGGTCGAGGATGATGCCAAGGTTACGGATGTGAGTGGAGGGGTTGACAAAGGAGCCATCGATGGTAAGGGAAAAATCTTGGGTTTAGCGGGTAAGTGAGTTTGGGCCAATGATTATAAGTTCCGATTTGTCACAGTTTGGACTTGATATTCCGGAATTGTATGGTGCGCTTCTGCTTTATGACGGGGGTTGGGGTTAGGATGTCCATGATGAGGGCCAGGTGATCGGAGATGGTGAGTTCATAGGTGGTCAGGTTGCTGATGGCGATGCCAGTGGTGCAGATCAGGTCCAGTGTTTGACCTTTTTTATGGGTGGGAAAATCAACATGTCGTGTGATATTGAAACAGTTGAGTATGTCCAGGAGTTCTGTAGCGGTATTGGAGTCGTTTGAGTCGACATGAATATTGAAATCACCAAGTAATAATACAGATGGAGAGATAGAGCAAAGTTTTGTGAGGAATTCAGCAAGGTCCGAGGGGAAAGCAGGGTTTGGTTTGGGGGGACGGTAAATGACTGCTGCAACCAGGGGTTTTAGACCAGACAGTTTAAATGCAAGGTGTTCAAATGAGGAAGGGCAAGGGATGTTTATTGCAATTGTTTTTATATTATTTCTTAGAACTGTGGCAATTCCACCTCCATGCCCATGGTGGCGTGGTTTTTCAATATATCTGTATCCTGGGGGTGTTGTCTGGTTGAGGGAGAAGTATTCCTGTGGTATTTGCCAAGTTTCTGTGATACAGAGAAAGTCCAGATTATTGTCATTGATGAATTCATTGAGAATGACACCCTTGTTTTTTAGAGACCGGGTGTTAAACAGAGCAAGTTTAAGATGAGGTTGAGTTTGAACAGGCTGGGGTGCTTTGGGAAGGGGGAGTAGGCAGGCAGAGTGCACGTGTTGGTTGTTGTGATGATGAAATGGAGGAGGTGTGTCAGTGCGCGCAGCAGACCAGATGGATGAGATGGAATGACCCGACTGGGAGTAAACAAACTTTCGTCCGGAGCTTCGGTGAATGTATTTGGGTTGTTGTAGCAGTCCATGTTCACTGATGGCGGAGATCATATTCGGGCATGGTGGAGTGGATGTGTGCTTTAGCTGGAGTAGTTCCGCGATGGAGTATGACAGAGTCATGTCGGCTGGGAAGGATGCAGCTCACAACAAACCTCTTGAGAGGATTAATGTCAGACAGCAGGAAAGCACACATCATGGCAGGTGATCAGGGTGAGTAGCGAAGTTTCTGTTGACAATCAGTGATTTTGCGGGAGTCAGTGGAATGAAGGCTAAGAGACTAAAAGAAGGAGAGCGGTCCAATGCTAGCGTTAGCATGTAGTCACCCGGTGACTGGAGGTTGGCTAGCTGTAGAGGTAGCGGTCACGGCTACTAGGGCTTTTAAAGTCACAAATGACCTTCTCATAGCCTCAGACAATGGACTTGTTCCTATTCTTGTCTTGCTCGATCTCAGTGCTGCATTTGATACCATCAACCATGATATCCTATTGCAAAGACTAGAGCACTTAGTTGGCATAAAGGGAACTGCTTTAGGCTGGCTTAGGTCCTATCTATCTGAACAGTCTAAGTTTGTGTGTGTCAACGATGAACCTTCCATGCAAACCAAAGTGAGCAATGGAGTGCCACGGGGCTCAGTGCTTGGACCTATTTTGTTCACAGTATATGTGACCTGCTCCTTCGAAAACACATGTGTGTGTGTTTGTGTATTTTTGCGTTTTGTATTGTGTATTGAAGAAATGCCGGCTGTTGTTATGCCTGCTGTGACGTTAAGTTACTCTGTTCTCCACTTGTAGGCTACTTATGCCATTACAAGCTTCAAAGTTGTATTTATCATCTGAATTTGCCGAAACAAGTTTAATATTCTGAAAGCCAAGACTTTGTTTATTTGAAATCAGATGAAAACAAACTGTTACGGACCCTGCCGTGTTATTATGATTACTATACGCCTTACATTCATAATGTCAGCGGAGGGAGGGGAAGCGGCGCTGCGGAACAGCAGAGTGTGAGTGAGAGCTGTCATCTTCCCTTTACAAGCTTAAAAAATGTATTTATCGTGTGATTTTGGAAATAAAAGTTTCATATTCTGAAAGCCAAGACTTTGTTGATTTAAAATCAAACAAAACACCCGAACCCCGAAAAACTATTTCCTTACGCAAATCCATGTTTATTTTGAAACGAGCCGTTGCGACTTCCGACTGATTTCGATAAAGCGGTCACATAATGCTTTAGGCAATATTATAAGGAATCATTCTGTACATTTCCATTGTTATGCGGATGATACTCAACTATATTTATCCATCCATCCTGATGAGTCCAATCGTCTAAATAAAATTCAAGACTGCCTCAAGGACTTAAAAACGTGGATGACCTTACATTTTTTGATGTTAAACACGGCCAAAACTGAAGTTCAGTCAGACAACTCACGTGTTTCTTAATATATTTATTATAAGCAGCATATAGTTTGAGTTTAGCCTCTAGGCTCGGGCCTCATTACTCCACAGATTTACAAAGAACATTGAGTGATGATTAGATAACTATCCCCCGAGCCTACAGGTGGAAGCTGGGGTGGAGCTGGGGTGGTGGTGGGGCAGGCAAGCAGCAGCAACATGAAACACAGCAGCAGGTACATGAACGCAGCAAAGCAAGTGAACACACAAGTGGCAGCAGCAGCATAGCGAGGCAGAGGCAGGAAGACCTGAAAGCTTAAATAGAGTGGCATGTTTAGGAGAATGTATTTGGTTGGTCGTAAGAGGGACGAGGTGCGTCACATGTTAATGTATCAATGGTGTTCGAGTTGACTGCCTGAACTAGCTCGCAGGCTTCACCCCATTTATTGTACTCGGCCCAAAGAATCTACGAAACAAACTATCTAAAGATATATCAACTATGGATGGCATTAATTTGGCCTCCAATGAGACTGTAAGGAATCTTGGTGTTGTATTTGATCAGGATTGATCTTTTAATGCCCACATAAAATCAATCTCAAGGACCGCCTTCTTTCCTCTACGTAACATTGCAAAAATCAGGCATATTTTGCCTCAAAACGATGCAGAGAAACTAGTCCATACATTTGTTACTTCAAGGCTGGATCATTGTAACTCTTTATTATCAGGGTGTACCAAGAAGTCAGTTAAGTCGCTTCAGCTGATTCAAAATGCTGCAGCATGTGTACTAACCAGAGTTAGGAAAAGGGACCACATTACTCCAGTTTTGGCTGCCTTACACTGCCTCCCTATAGAACACAGGATAGAATTGAAAATTCTTCTTCTCGCCTACAAAGCCGTTAATGGGCAGGCGCCATCTTACCTTAAAGAACTCATTATACCCTACTGTCCTACTAGGGCATTGCGTTCCAACTAGGGTATTGCGTTCCAAGAATGCAGGGTTGTTGGTTGTTCCTAGAGTCTCTAAAAGTATAATGGGAGCCAGAGCCTTTCTTTATCAAGCTCCACTTTTGTGGAATCAGCTTCCAGTTTGTGTTCGGGCGGCAGACAGCCAATCCGTTTTTAAGAGTGCGCTTAAGACCTTCCTTTTTGATAAAGCTTATAGTTGATAAGAGAATCTAATAAGAGTGCATTGACGTAGACACGTTGTGCCTCTT